GAAACCTGAGTACATCAACATTCCTGATCCTGAACAACCTTTGTTTGCCTCCGTTTTTCATGCACTAGGCCATGCCCATTGGCAAGAGATTGAAGATCTCAAGATTCATGCATATATGTCTAGAAATGTATGTTTATAAAACAGCCTGATTGTATAAAATAAAAAACGAAATACAGCTGTTTCTGTGAAGGCTTTTTGCATCTGTACTCCACATATAAACAATCTGCTAAACATTAGAAAGATAAATTAAATATTCCAAGAATTAAAAATACAAAATCTAGTTTTAAAGTAGAGCACTTAGAAATGACAGTGATGTGAGCTGTAGAAAACCTAAAGTTGATCGGATCACTCTAGAAGCATACAAAAGTTCCAGAGTTTTCTATGTCCAACCTCAGAATTATTGGACAAATGCATGTACATTTCATGTTCTCTGTGAATCTGTTCATTTCATCCGCACTCCTAAACCATTATCTATTTGCTGCTAGGCAACTGGTTACATCCTGATAGCATGTGTACTTCTCTAAAAAATTTGGAGAGGAGTCTGGGTCTGTGATCTGGACAGATATTTTTGTTTAAGTTAAGGATCATAATAAATTCCATCTCTTCATATGGTGTATTGTGAACAGAAATTACCAAGCAAGGCAACCCTGCTTTGATGGTAATTAGTTATTTTTAAAAACTGTTTTGGTGAATGTATTTGTCCATGAGACTAGAGTGATAGCACAGAATATATATAGTTCTCTTAACATTATCTGTAGAACATCTATAACACAGATGGCATCAATTTAGTGTTCTTAATCCATTTAATGTGCTTCCCTTCCTCCCCACCCCCATCCCAAACAGATGAGAGAGTAGTTTATTCTGTAAACCAATTCAGTTCTTGAATTCTGTTGATCTTGCTTGGGTATGCCAGCTAGGTCCAGTTAGGGTTTTGTGATGTGAACACTAGTCTGTTATTAAGAAGTGAACTGGGTCCACCAAATACCTTTCATATAGTTAAAACTTGTAGTCACCACAGACGTGGATTTGAAGCTAAGGCTCATCTTTCCTATACTAATCATCTGGATCTTTTTACCAGTTCTATAAAACATTCTTTATATGTTACTGACTCTGCTATGAGATTACCAATTAAAGAGTCCCAAAATAGACAGTCTCATGAATCAAAGTATCTTATTTGCTCCCTAAAGTCAGCCAAACAGATTTCAGATGCTAATCATATTTTCTAGCTTGTCTACTTTGTAATGGAGAGACGTTTTCTTAAATTAATACTTGCTCCATACCGTGAATACGAGAAGAGACTGACCTCAATTTATTGCTCATACTGTGAGACTGATTCTTTCTCATTACATGGAATTTTTCACTAGTATAACTCAATTGGCTTCAAGGTTGTTACTCCCAATAATGCAGAATTAGATCCTAGGAGTCCCTTGAGCAGAGACAAGTTTATTGATAATATTAAGAATATTAAGTTCAACAATTTCATCTTGATTTAGCAAAACCTGAGCAGCAATGATGATGGGAAAACTTGCATACAAAAAAAAAAAAAATCAAATCAAAACCACAAGACTGAAAAGGAGTGTGAAACTTTGTTGCCTTTTATTGAATTAACAAAACAATAACAACATACATTCTCCATAAAGTTACTCTACTTACTACACTTTAATTTATAATAGCACCAGTTACAGCATGTGTGGAAAAATTCTTTTTTATATAATTGTAAGTTGTTGTATTTTATATTGGCATGTAAAATGAATAATAAAATAAAAAGCAATTCACATCTTGGAGTATTGTGTTATAGTCTAAACTGGACAAAATAATTTGGTGAAACCTGAAACTTTTTTCTTCACTGGCTTCTTAATAGGCATGATTGATTAGAATACTCGCAGTTTTAAACTCATTTGTACAGGCAGTCCCCGACTTACGTGGCTCCGACTTATGGCGGATCCGCACTTACGAATGGGGCTTTTCTCGCCCCGGAGCTCGCGGGCGGCGGGACCGCCCAGAGCGCAGCGGTCCCGCCACCGCGTCCTCCAGGGCGAGAAAAGCTGCTCCGGGTCTCCCTGGTGTGC